AACACAGGATCCTGGGTTATGACCTGGCAGTGTGGACTCATACAATCCAGTCCAAAGCAGATAATTATCTGGGATCAGATCCTGGGGTATAGGTCCAGTGTAGACCGCGCCTCAGTTAAGAGGGGCCCATTTGGGAAGAGTTGGGGTCAGAGGACAGGCTCCTCGGGTCCTTCCTCCAATCTTTGCTCCGGTCCCAAGTTCTTCCAGAAGGCGGCAGGGAACGTGCGGGAGAACACGGGAGAAGACCTGGACACGGAGCAGCTCATCCACGAGACGTGCCGGAACTGCCTGGAGCAGGTATGTGCTGCCGAGAAGGGATCTTGCGCTGGGATTGTGGCGCAGCTGGGGGAGTGTCAGCTGCATTAGGACCACTCTGACCAGAAGGTCATGAGTTCGAAGCCAGCCTGGGTCGGAGTGAGCTTCCGGCCAAATTTGTGTAGCTTGTTGTCGACCTTTGCAACCCGAAAGACAGTTGCATCTGTCAAGTAGGAAAACTAGGTACCACCTATGTGTGGAGAGGCTAATTTAACTAATTTACGAGGCCATAAAAAGACTCCAGCAAAAGCATGCGGGGAATGCGGAAGTGCTTCATCAGTGTTGCAGATGGACAATGAAAGCGACAGCTCCTCTGGCGGCCAGAAAAAGTTAAATAGCCTCTGTGTATGTCTATATACGTTGTATGTCTAATTGGCATGGAATGTTTGCCGTATATGTGTACATTGTAATCCGCCCTGAGTTCCCTGTGGGGTGAGGAGGAGAAGAGCGGAATATAATGCTGTAAATAAATAAATCCTGTCTCTAGGGCAGGCCTTTGGGACCCCCCCCCTCCCTTTGAGGCTGAGGCTGCCCTGGGAGGTGGTCTGGAGGGCTTTGATTGTGTCTTCCTGCCCGTCAGAATAAAAGGGGTTGGACTAGATGGCCCTGGAGCACCCCTTCCACCTCAAGGATCCTGTGATTGTGGAGCGAATCCTCCTCCTCCCTGCCTGATGGGCAGCATGTCCTGGGAGCCCTTCAAGGCATTTTGGTGCTCAGCGGAGGAGCTCTCCAAGAAGCCTTGAGCAGGACGGGCTCCCTAATGGTTCAGTTCTTGCTTCTGCCTTCGCCTCGTTCTGCAAAACGATCCAAAAAGCGAAGAGCCAGCCAGGAATGCGATCCCAGCGCTGACTCCAGGCCTTTTTCTTCCCCTTCAGGCTAAACTTCTCTTCTGCGACGGCAAGAAGTCTGTGGCGAGGTTGCCGCACGAGGTCCCCGTCCTGAAGGTGGGCGCTGCTTTCTCTCCCCACTTCTCTCCCCACTCTCCCCTCTGGCACTCACACCCCATAATACAGGCGTGGGCCGACTTGGGCCCTGTCAGCCGTTAGAAATGGTGGGAGTTGGAGTCCAAAAGAGCTGGAGGGAGGAGGGCCCAAGCTGGCCCACACCTTGTAAGTTCCCTAAATTACTCCCCTCGCAGCTTCCCTGGAATCCACTTTTGCCTTCCTTTCGGAGTGTGCACAAAGGCCAGCCTCCATTTGTTTACACGCACTGTATTATTTTCCCCTCTAAGTCCATTGCAGAGCTGGGCCATTTGTATCTATTCTCATAACTTTTCTCGTCAGTCTCTCCTGGATCGCTCTCTTTCCCTCTTCCATCGTTCTTTCATCGTTCTAGATGCATTGGCAAATATCTTTACTATGCCCCAACCAACTCCATTTCTAAAGAGTCCCAAAAGGCACATTCCTGGATTTTTCTCAACCTTGTTGAGGGGCATGTTCTTTGTCTCCTTGGCAACACGTTCCCAGAATTTCAGGCCATGGAGCATGTCCACCAGGCATGGAACAGAGTGCCCTTCTGTTTCCGACGTCTCCAGCATCCCCCTCCACGAGTTTCCTCCCTGTTGGCCCATCGCTCTGGACTTGCATGGCTTCTGCAAAACGTTTTGCACATGTTTCCAGCGACCTCCCCTTCTTTCCTCTTCTTCCCACGCAGCGGGCCAAGCCAGCAGACGAGGACGTGAGCCAGCAGCAGGGAAGCCCCGCCCCCAAAAAGGTAGGTTGGCTACAGCGGCCCTGCAACCCTTCAAGAACCAGCGGAGCAGAGGGAGGGGGGTCCCTGCGCACCCCCTTGGGTGGGGCAGAGAGGGGCCTTGCAGCACAGCCAGCACCCACCGCCCCCTTGGCTGAAGCTGCTTCCCTCCTCTGCTTTTGTTTGGGGAAAGTGGGGGGGGGGGCACCGTCAGAGGCTTGCTTCTGTTGCGGGGAACATGTTCTGCCCAGGAGGCATTGACAGTGACATCGCGGTTGGCACAGTGGGTAAACCCTTGCGCCGCTGAACTGCTGACCTGAAGGTTGGCAGTTCAAAGCCATGGTTCGGGGTGAGCTCCCACTGTTAGCCCTAGCTCCTGCCAACCTAGCAGTTTGAAAACATGCAAATGTGAGTAGATCAATAGCATGCCACCTTGGTGGGAAGGTAGTAAAGGTGCCCATGCAGCCATGTTGCCAGCGTGACCAGGGGGTGTCTATGGACAATGTAGGCTCCTTGCTTGGCTTGGAAATTGAACAAGAGCCCCTCCCTCCCCATGGCCGGAGTTGAGCACCGCCTCCAGAAGCCGGAGTTGAAAGGGGAAGCCTTTGCCTTTGCTCTGTGTATTTGTGTGTCATTGTTATCACTGTATTAAAGGCACTGGGTGTTAAAGGCCTATCTGTGTATATTGTAATCTGCTCTGAGTCCCCTCCTTGGGGAGAGAGAGCGGAATATAAATAAAGCGTTCTTGTTGTTATTGTTATTATTAGTACTATTGTTGTTGCCCCCTGCAGCGGAAGGGACGGCCTCCGGGACAGAGCCAGCTGAGCAACCAGAAGCCTGTGGCAGTGAACATGTAAGTCTGCCCCAATATGGCTCTGGTGCCTGCCTGCCTGCCTCCACCTTCTGCACCCAGCATCCACGGGGCAGCCCAGGCCGAGGCCTCTTCAGCCCCCCAAAAGCGAGGCTCTGCGCAGGAGGAGTGACTCCTGGAGGGGGAGGGGGACACAGGGTGCACCCAGCCCCCTCACCACCACCACCACCACCACCACAGAGGATGCGTAGCTGCATCCCACCTGAGAGGGGCCCACCCACCACACTTGGCAATAGTTTACTTGCCAAACCGCTCTTATCCTGGATGCAGTTCTTCCTCAGGTTGAGATGGAATCCCTTCTCCCGCAGCTTGAACCCCTTGTTGTTCCCTTGTGTCCCAGTCTTTGCAGCAGCCAAAGTCCATCCAGACTTTCAGGTGTGGCTCCTTCATGTCACGTCTCCTCCTGATCGGGGCTGGACGTGCCCGGTTCCCTCAGCCGCCCCTCATAGGGCTTGGGGGCTCCTGGGCCTCTGACCCCCTTGGCCACCCTCCTTGGGACACGTCCCGGCTGAGAGTCGGCCTCCTTCGTGGGCTCTTCCTGCCTGCCTTGGCTCTCCAGAGGGAAGGAGGGAGGGAGGGAAGGAAGGAGGCATTCTGGTGGAGCGGAAGGGGAGCAGGAGGCCAGGGCCTTGGACCCCATGAGGGCAGGCTGAGCCAAGAGGGAGGAAGGGGAGGCAAGCCAGGCACGTGGCTTTCTCTTCACCAGGCTCTGTTGAGCCTCAGTGTCCAGAAATCACTACAGTCTATTTCCAATGCAATAGTTTAATCTGCAGAGCATCCTACCAGGTACGTGTGCCACATTAGACTGAACTGCATCATGGGTTTTGCAGTTGATCAGAACCCAATTGAAGTGAATATGCGCGCACACACAATATCAGACCCTTCCCCCCTTCCTTCCTTCCTTCCTTCCTTTCCCTTCTCCTCCTCAGTTCCGTCCTCTGATTGGGTGCCTCTCTCTTCCAAAACTATTCCCCTCTGCGCTGCCATCTCTTCCGGGTCATTCTGATCTTATTCATTTATTATTTGTTTATTTACAATATTTCATTCTGGCTTTTCTTGAACCCGAAGGTGACTCAAGGCGGTGTTACAACCTCTTCCTTCCCCTCCCACACACACACTCTGCCTGGGCAGCCCTTTCCTCTCTCTCCCCCCCCCCCCCCCCCCTTTAACCCAGGCTCAACTCTTCCTTCTTCTAAACTCCACACCTGTTTGGATTTGGCACCTCAGTCTCTTTGTCCACTTCTCCCTTGTGGACTCTGACTCTGAGAGCTCTTTCCTTGATGGACTCCTCTTTCCTCAGGAGCAAAACCAAGCCCTGTGAGCCAGTGCAGAGGGAAGGCCCCAAGGTAAGCCCCCCTCCCTCTCTCTCTTGCTTTGGGTTCAGGGGGCCAGGGGCCCCGCCTGCCTCGCAGCTCCAGAGGCACTGGGGGAGCAGCAGCCCCCCTTTGTAGGAAGGCGGGGGCCCTTGCCTCTGCGCCTTGTCAGGAGCCTCTCTTTGTGTTGCTGCCTTGCAGTGGGACCCCACCCGGATCACAGAATCCACCTGCTTTGTGCTGGGGTCGAGGGCAAACAAGTAAGTCCCTGCCGTCTCTGCGAGGAGCAAGCAAGCCAACCTTCAGGCGCTGGAGTCCCTCAGTGTGTCATTGGGGGACCGGGGAGGGGGGAGGCTCAAGCGGTGTCCGAAGGGAGGGAAGGGGGCGCGTGTCTGCAGGGCCAAAGCCTCACCTTCACCTTCTGCCGCAGAGCCCTGGGCATGGGAGGCACCCGAGGAAGGCTCTACATCAGGCACCCACACCTCTTCAAGGTCAGTGCACCCAGACCCCAGGAGAAAGACCAGGGAGGGGGGAGGGGACCTGGGCCCTTGGGGGGGCCTTTCAGGGACCACAAAATGCACACCCAGCAAAGAGGAGTGGAAGGAGCAGTGCTTCGTCAGGGGAATTAATTCACAGAATTGGAGATCCCAAGACACATCTAGTCCCACCCTCTGCCCTGCCAAAACACTACCTGAACAGGTGCCCACCCGGCCCCTCTTTACAGTTCTCCAAAGATGGAGACCCCCCCCCCCCGGGTGGTCTGTGAGTAAAGAATCTCTTCCTGGGGGTTCAGTGGCGCCTCTTCCGCAACCCTTTGAGCCCATGCGTTTGTGTTCAAGCCTCAGAGCAGCAGAACACAAGCGGGCTCTCTCTTCCCATGACATCCCTTTGTGTATTGAAAGAGAGTCCCTCCCTAACCCTAACCCTTCTCTCTCTCCCTTCCTTCCTTCCTTCCTTCCTTCCTTCCTTCCTTCTTCCAGTACGCAGCAGACCCTCAGGACAAGCACTGGCTGGCGGAGCAGCACCACATGCGTGCCACGGGGGGAAAGATGGTGAGAGCGGACTCTGAACGTAAACACATCCTCTGCTGCTTTTGTGGGGGGGGGGGGTCTCTCTCTCTCTCACTGTGGCCACTGCTCACCCCGTGCCCCCCTTTTCTAGGCCTACCTTCTTCTGGAGGAGGATATCAAGGAGCTGGCGGCAAGTGAAGAGTACAGGTGAGGAGGGCCAGGGCGGAGGTGTGGAGCGGGGCAGGTGGCCTTTGGGAGATTTGACCTGACCTCCCCCCCAACTCTCATGAAGTCCCAGAATCAGGGAAATCTCCTTTCCACACATCTCTGCTTCTCTTAGGGTGCAGGCTCTTGAGCAATGCTCAGTGTGTGTGTGCATGCATGCAAATAACCCCCCACCACCACCACCTGCACTTTGCTCAGCCCAGGGACACAGAAGACAGTCAGGCCTCCACCACACTTTGGGGTAGAGAGTTCCTCTGCCGAACAGCTCGCTCTCTCTCTCTCTCTCCCAGTGAGACAATTCTTCCTCATGTTCAGACTGATCTCCTTCCTTCCTTTCCTGTATTTTGAAGCCTTTCCTCCGTTGCATCCGAGCCTCCCTCCCGGGCAGCAGAAAGGAAGCCCCCTCCCTCCTCCCTAGGACATATTCCTCTCACGCATTTATCCCTGGCCCTCTTCTCCTCTCAGCCTTCTCTTCTTCAGGCTAAACATGCCCAGCTCCTTAAGCCGCTCCTCATAGGGCTTGTTCTCCAGACCCTTGCCCTCTTCCTCTGGACACAGAATTCCAGCTTGTCAGTAGCTTCCTTTCCCCTTCTCCCTCCTTGGCAGGCGGGAAGGAATGACCCTTCAACCCGTTGCCCCGTTTTCCATAGAGAACATTCCTTCTGCCTGTCCGGTTTGACCTTTCTGATGACAAGCTGTGAGCAGTTGTGGTTGTTCCTTCCGTGCAGAACTGTCCCTTCGTATTAGGTTTTGACCCAAGAAGACCCAGGAGTGGGGGCCTCGGTGTGGAACCATGGGGTATCGTTGTTGTTGTTGTTATTTCCTGAAGGTGCTGACGGCGCTTTGTCTCCCTCTCCCTCTCTCTCTCTGTCCCCCGGCAGAGGATCTCTGGAGCTGAAGCTGGATGAACTGAAGCCCTTCACGGCGCCGGCCTGGATGGCCCAGAAGATGCGCACCGCCATGGAGGCCCTGCGCTGCGGGTGCGAAGGGGACCCACCCCCGCCCCCCAAGGACGCATAGGGGAAGGGGCGGTGGGGAGGGGGGGCAGAGCAGGATCTGCCCCCCTGTGTGCGCTCACTCTCTCTCCCTGCCTCTGGGCTGGACCTCTGGAAACCACCACAACAACCATCATCATCCTAATAAACACGCCACTCACTCCGGCCTGAAGCCTCCTCTCCTCCCTTTGGGAAGACTCTGTGTCGGGGGGAGGGGGGGGCACAATCCCAGCCCACTGTCGCTTATGAGGAAGGGTGGGGGTCCCCACACTGAGGGACAGGTGCACTTGGACGCCGCTTCGTTCGACCACTGTGGTTCAGTCAGTGGTGTGGCTCCTTTTGGCAGGCGAGGCGGAGCCCCTTGGGCATCCTCACAGTGGTGCCAACCAGCATTAATTCTGCCGTGCAGATGTGTCAGGGTCCTTGGCCCCATTGGTGTTGCTACGGATTGAGTCTTCTCGTGAAAGACGACCCCAAGGCGCACAGAGGGTGA